ATGGCAAAGAGTTGCTACGAAAAAGTCACCAAAACTGCCCAGGAGGAAAACTTCAGCTTCTTTTCTGTTCTTTTCTTTCAATGGATGAGCATTATATTGAAGACGGGAAATGAACGAGCTATCGAAAAAGATGATCTTTTGCCTCTCAAAGAAGAAAACACTACCTCCTTTCTGTCCGAAAAGCTTCAGTCAAGTTGGAATCAGGAAACAGACTCCGGCAAAAGATATTGTAAAGGACCTAAACTGTGGAAAAGTGTGTTGAAGATGATTTCAGTTAAAGAGGCCATCATTATCACTTTAACTGGCAGTCTACGTACATTTTCTAATATTCTCCAACCACTGCTTCTGGGATATCTCCTGGAATCTCTAAGGAATGCTGAACAAAAGCATAATTATTTTGTGTATATCTGCGCATTGGGAATTGGAATAAATGAATTGTTCGCTGCTCTCAATGTTCACCATTTTTCTTTCCAATGTGAGATGCTTGGTATCAAAATCAGTGGTGCCCTTAAAGGATTAGTCTACAACAAGGTAAGTACAACATCAACGTTACGTTATGTTAATCGGTTGCGAGCGCAATACGTGATTTCAAAGAGCAATGTCTCTTCTTTTGTAAATGATCAGTGTTCAGTGCATCTATGTGTAATAAAACAATGCTTACCTCGACCTAGATTATTCTGGATATCACAAAACGCTCATCAAATAAATGTTTATTATTTTCCCCTGTGTATACTCCGTTATGTAACAGGCGATTACAGAAACTGCTGATTTTTAGTGCTAGGGCGTAACTAAAAGTAAGCTCGGAGAATTGCGCACATGCGGACCTTAAACTTCGAAGAAGTGAAAAAAGAAACACGCGCACAACAGAAAACACGGCAAAGAAGTAAACAGTAGAGAGATAAAACAGTGTAGTGGATAAGAGTCTCCTAAGAAGACAGCAAACTGTTAAAGGAACAAGAAAATCGTACACTGAAAAAAACTGAAAGCAACTGAACTCAAGTTTTCAATTGTTTTTTCGAAGATTTAATACACTTACTTTCCCTTTTTATTTCATTTCCAAAATGAAATCTTAAATCTTAATTACCAGACTCAGTGAGGCTTTCGCGAACATTCGCTTGAACATTTAATACCAAACAAATTAATGACAACCAAGAAAGTTCGAAAGTTGCTTCAAGCCCCGTTAAAGGGAATCAGTGAAAGATAAAGAAATATAAGGTACTTGATTATCTTTATTTGGGTTTCTTGCGGGCTCAAGCTTACCCAATTTTAAATGACGATCAGAATTTTTACAGACCCCCTTTTTTCTCTGCCCTCTTCTTTCTCTTCAAAGTTCGTCGAGCGCGCATGATAAAAAAGCAAACACCGCGGGAGATTCGGTATATTTGCTTGGAAACGAGGTTGATTGATGACATATTTGCCTGGACAGGAGGCTGTTTGGGCAATGTTGAACGAAAATGAAAAAAGCGTTCACACGAAATAGCTGAATTTCTGACCAAAACTGAGCGGAAGAAATGCAAGAATAGGCAAAAATATTGCTCGTTGGATCAGTGTTACTTGCAAGAAAAAAGATCTGTTTATATCTAGCCCGCGTAACAGGCGTTCGAAACGGAAGGGGAAGGTAACTAGTCTGGCTCGAGACCCACCTCGTGTGCCCGAAGCCCCTTCCCTTTCAAACACCTGCCACGCAATTATATCCCATGAAAGCGTGCCGCGAAATGAGCTTAAGTCTTGATGAAAGTCTATGAGGAGGTAAATAAGCTCTCGTTTCAAAACAATCTTTAAAAAACGTTTGAATGGATAAAAAAACAGATATTTCATTCGGCTTTCGTATGATGTGCAGAATTGTGCTGATCACGAAGGCTGTTATAAGCCGAGGTGGATAGCGTTCTCCTCGATCTGCATAATTCTTCAAATCAGACGAAAGCGTCGTTCACTAAACAATTGTTAAATATTGATTTTTGATTTTTGCTGCATGTGCAGACGGTACTGTTCAACTTACAACTAGGCTCTCATTATTAATAAAAATGCTCCTTTGTGGTGCCACCTAACATGATAATAAATTTATCACTTCTGTTTTACAGACGCTTCTTTTAAGCAAGGATTCCTTGTTAAGGTTCTCAACTGGTCACGTGATTGATCTTGTATCCAACGATGTTCAGCGACTTGAGGCAGATACGGTCAGGTTGTTTCTCGTTATGCCTTTTTCTATTCTTCAGCTTGTGGTGATCTCCTACTTACTCGTCCATTTTATTGGCTGGCAGACCTCAATGGGAATCACTTTTCTGTGTTTACTCCTGCCATATCTCGGTGGACTCTCATCTGCTGGTGCCACAATACGCTCTCGCACAGCTGCAGTTTCTGATCGTCGCATTTCGTTGATCAACCAAGTTATTTCTGGGATTCGCGCCATCAAGTCATATGCATGGGAAAAAGAATACAAACAAAAGATAGGAAATATACGAAGGTAAGAAAAAAATATCTGCTCAGACTACTCATGAGTTGGTGAACAATTAGAATATCATTCATTTAGTAATTCAGTCTGCAATTGGTCATTGCTAATAAATGAAAATGTAGCTTGAAGTCATAAGTACAACATTGAAAATTAATTTAAACGGAGACCTTCACTATGAAAGACATTTGATTGTTTCAATAACCCCAATAAGTACTACGTTACAGCGTATGAGACAGCTGCATTTTTAAATATCAGAATTCCTGGAAAATTGTGAGCCCTAATGCTCAATTGATTTATAATCACTGCTTATTCCAGCTAAGCTTAGCATAAATACAGTTATCAGTAATACCATAGAGTAAATCTCTAAAACGTTTTGACATTTTATGCAGTCCGTGAAAGAGCCAGCATTGGAGCCGTGCAATGTCGTTCTTAACTTATTTTTCGGCCGTAAAACGTTGCTTCTTTTAGTCAGTGCACACATACATTTTTATGTTTCAGAAACGAAATAAGCTTCATTCTGAAGAAGAGTGCCGTTTTATCAGCCATTGCTGCATTGGAGTATACTTCGACACCAATGGCGACCATGCTGACAATCATCACACTTTCACTGACTGGTCATCCCCTGACACCAGCAAACGTATTCATTTTGCTTTCCTTTATCAATTTACTACGTCAGAACTTCTGTATAAACGTGGCCTATGGTTTGCTTCAGTCATATGATGCTTACGTTTCCCTAAGAAGAATTCAAGACTTTCTTCTTTTAGACAATTTAACTTCAACTACCATTACGAGAAAACGCCTAGAAGATAACGAAAATTGGCAAGGTCCTCACAAGTCAGCAAAATTAGAACAAGATATTGTCTTACTTGTGGAGAGTTCCATGCTACAGGAGAAAGATAAAGATGACGGATTTGGTTCACAAAACGTAGCTACTAAGAAAGGGAGTTTGATAGTCATTACCGGGCCAGTAGGGAGCGGAAAATCAACCCTTCTCTCAACTATCGCTGGCGAAGGAACAACCAAAAATATAAGCATTACCTGCAGAGGATCAACTATCTATGTGCCACAGATACCGTGGTTATTCTCTGGAACTGTAAGAGATAACATTTTGTTTGGCGAGCCCTATGAAGAATCCAAGTACGCAAGAATCATTGAAGCTTGTGCTTTGGCAGATGACATCCAGCAGTTTCCCGAAGGTGACAAAGCAGTTGTTGGAGAGCGTGGTGCGGCTCTCAGTGGAGGCCAGCGGGCAAGAGTAAGCTTAGCACGCGCAGTCTACGCCGATGCAGACCTGTACTTGTTAGATGACCCCCTTAGTGCGTTGGATTCTAAGGTTGGACTGCACATCTTTACGAAATGCATCAAAGGCCTATTAGGACAAAAAACCAGATTGATTGCTTCCCATCACCAACAACTTATGAGGGAAGCTGATGAAGTAATTGTATTATTTAAAGGCGAAATCTTAGATAAGGGACGTTTTGATGACCTGAAAGCAAAGGGTCTTTTAAATACGACTGCTGATCCACCGTATAAGAAAGCTACGGACTCAGATGAGAGCTTTGGTGAGCAAGGAGAAGAAAAAGATGAGATTTCTGACACATCAAATACAAAATACCTCAACACCTATGAATGTAAGACTCTTCGCTTATCAGAAGAAGTTCGAGCGATCGGAGTGGTGTCTACAAGACTGTACTGGAACTTCTTCAGAAGCGGAGCCCCTTTACAAGTGATCATTGCAGGAATTTGCTTCTGCCTTATTGCTCAAGGTAATCAAAGGATTTTGCGACCAAGTTTTAAAACAATGACAGCATTTGAACTTTCAAGAACAAACTCCAACAAAATCCGTGGAAGATTTATTTTAGAGAAACCATTTTCCAAGCCTTTAAAGAGGCTATGTCACAAGGATATTGCTGTTTAAGTCAATTCTGCGCCGAAGTCATTGCATAGTGCCTTTATGTATACACAAATTCTTCTGTAGAGTTATGAAGAAGATATCAAACAAATTTCTTCAGGGAGCACAAACCATAACATTTTTTCTGGTAATTTTTACATTTTGTACGCATAGCATCAAAACTTGAAACGGATGGCCCAAATTTTTCAAGTTTCGATTCATGTCCATCCCGGCTTGCCATCCGTTGGTAGCATTTCACGACAGAAAACGGTTTCAACGCCTACATAAATATAGTCTTAATAACACAACTCTACCATTATTTTTGGAATTCGATGCGACGAAATGTACTAGCTTTTGAAAACATAGCAAATGGCGTGACATAGCCTATTGAAATATACCCAAAAATTAAATCAGGAACGAGGGTAGTATGCACATTCTTTGATTAAGACGTGATCTCAGTTAAGGCAGGGGTAGATCCAGATATGATTGGGTTCATGGGGGTCTCAACCCCACTAAATACAACCAGAGGCCAAAATAGATGAAAATACACGTAACCCATTAGAAATTTATTTGCAGTTAATATGAGGATGATTTAATTTCAACAACGTACTTGCTATTTTTTAGCAATGCTTGTGTCTCCTGACGTGTGGCTGTCGTTGTTGACAAGGAAACAATCAGAGTATAAACGAAACAAGAAGAACTTAACCATCTATGGTCTTCTCGTGGGTGCCGCATTCATATTTCTCGTCATTCGAGCGTTTGGCTTCTATCTGGTATTTGTAAGATGTTCTGAGCGTCTTCATGATAGAATGGTCGAGGCTGTTCTACATGCACCAGTCTTTTTCTTTGATTCAAATCCCGTGGGAAGAATTATGAATAGGTTTTCCAAAGACGTAGGCAGCATGGACGAAGTACTGCCTAAAACATTTTTGCGGTCAATTCAGCTCATCTTACTACTGCTGATGACCATTCTCGTGCCGACAGTCACAAACCCTTGGATTTTGCTTGTTTTTACGCCAATAGCTGTACTGGCGGGACTGTGGTCAAGATATTACCTTAAGACATCTAGGGAGCTGCAAAGATTGGAGTCTATCTGTCGCAGTCCTGTATATTCTCATATTTCGGAAACGCTGGATGGACTGGATACAATAAGAACAAGGAATAAAGAAGGGGATTTCGTCTCTCGCTTTCACAGGTATCATGTCACACATTCGTCGTATCTTTTAGGTTAATTTCGCTTTGTTTCTTTTTTATTATTTTTAGAGTTTGGCTATCTAAACAGGTGCAAAAGTGAGCAGGGAAAAACAATAATTTATTATTATTTTCTTTTTTATAACAAGTGAGTTTATTAATCCCTTAAAATGGTTCAAAATCTTACTTTCCAACGCTAGACTTCCGTCAGCGCTAAACAAGGAATTGTTGGCTCTCAAAACGAAAAAAAAAAACTAGAATAATAGCCTTTGCGCCAATGTTCACACAATACAGGATAGCTTTTGAGCCGGCACGAAAACCATAGTGGATAGAGCTTCTCTTCACACATAAGAACGGTGATTTCGGCGATTTCTGTAACGGAGCGAAGCTGTGCCGCACCGATCTCTAAAATGGGAAGTCACATATCGGATAGGTGCTCATACTATACTAGGAATTATTTATGACTTATTTGGAAATGGCGTTGATCGGTGTTACGTTCTTTTTTCCTTTTCGCAATTGCTGGTAATTTTTCCAGCCAAACCGTTCAATTAAATTAAGTCCAGAATCCAGGATATGAAAGGAGGAGTGTATGCAAAGATCCTCGCCAAGATTCAGCTCAGTGTAATTTTTCACAAGCGAGCTATCAAGTTCGGAGATATGTTTTACCAAAATTTATAGGGCTTTGTATGGAGACGGCATATTGGTGTCCTTCCTGATATGCACCAACATGGCGGCCGAAAAACAGCAGAAACATCTGTCACTAAGTTGTACTACGAAAGCGCGTCTCTTAAGGAACTCATAAACATTTAAATTAATATGTTTTCTAATACAATGACTATTCAGATAGCTCAATCCCCACTGAGTCACGTTTTTAAACTATATGACAGCTTTCTCGCCCGCCATGTAAATCATGGTTCACCAAAAGATTAGAAATTCAAGCGTACTTTATCAAAGAGGAAGAGTCTTTTCAAAGTGAAAATTTGTCTGAATATTAGTTTTAAGCTGCTGTAATACGTCATGGAAGTAAAAAACTTTTTTCGCGTTTTTCGGGCGAACGAAGCACGAAACGAGCGTGGAGCGGCCAGGCAAGCGCGACGCTTCAGAAGATGCGAAAAAGCTATCGCCTTTTCTGCAGGCTATGGGGAATCCAAGTTTGCAAGTCACTAACATCCACGCGCCGAGCGCGCAAACAATTTATAAATCTTGCTTCAAGAAGAATAAACATGTTCAGAAGAGTAGGAATTCTGGAGAAAAAACCGCTTTGAAAAAAATCCCAGAAACCCTTGGGAGGTTTCTTCTGGCCCCACAACCTAATCGAACTGTGTCGTAGGTAGAGGCTTTTCTAGCAGTTGTAACTGTAAAAGAAGGTGTAAAAAGTACATTCCTTGTTGGTTGTAGGTGTCAAGATGTACATACAAAATCGTTTATCGTGTTACTTGCCAGTGGGCGATGGCTTGGTGTACGCTTGGACATTTTTTCTTCTCTGTTGACTGGCGCAGTGGCCCTTGCTGCCGTTTTGGTTTCAGAAGATCCTGGTATGTCATAAGACTACTGCAAAGATGGTTGAAAGAACGTGTTTAGAATTGACCTCACTCTTTTAGCCTGAATTGTGCTATAATTTCATCACTGTCAACACTGTCCTTTTTGCCATGGCACTGATCGATCACTGATCGATCACTGATCTCGTAGTACATGTGCATTTAAAACACAGCGTCTCGCCGAGTTGGGTCCTGATTCAGCATTCCCACTCTTTTTTAAAGACAATCTCGCATCCCGAACTTCTCCGAATATCTACCCCGAATGCCGTTTTCTTTTCCAATACCGCGAATCCTGCTTCCACCGTAGCAGTCAAATCCCTCATCACATCAAGAAATTCTGCTTTTTCCCGAATCCCCCAATGTATTTCAATCAAATCACGGATCCCGAGGATATCCTTCCAGACCCTCAGAAAAGACTCAGAGCTTAAGCCTGTAGTGTAGTCTTTTAACGCCTACATGTAGTTAAAGCAGTTGGTAAGTCAACGGACTGTTCCTATGTGAGGCTCACGATTAGGAATCCATGAGTTTGGACCACAAACCATTAAGTTTCAAAAAACACCAAGGAAACCATGAAAGCCTGCGAAGATTCCACGTATGGGTATAGGTTGCGTATGGACTCGGTCGCCAAATAAATTCCCACACCACAAAACAAAAGTAACCAACAATGGCTTCCGAAATTTCCTTTAACTTGAAACCCTCTCCAATCTCTATTTTGAATACTCAAATTTTGAATCTGAGTTTGCCCGGGTAGGTTGTTAAGTTTAAGTTTTGTCTGGATTGAGAATTTTTTCTTGTATTCCTTGTAGCCCTCGTTGGACTATCCCTGGTTTACGTAGTCCAGACCGTGAATCTGACGCAATTTGCTGTCCGTCAGTTAACCGAGGTTGAAAATCTTATGACAGCAGTTGAAGGAGTTATCACTTACACTGAACTCGACCCTGAACCTGGTTACAAAGTCAAGCATCTTCCCCCGGAAAATTGGCCAGACAAAGGAAGTGTCACATTTCAAGATGTTTCCATGACGTATCATCCAGGGGGTCCACAAGTTCTAAGGAATATTTCTTTAAGCATCAAAGCAGGAGCTAAGATTGGAGTTGTGGGCCGCACGGGGTCAGGGAAATCTTCCTTCGCGGCGGCACTAATGCGCATGCCTGAAGCTGAAGGAGATATTTTGATTGATGACGTATTGCTAAGAAATATCAATCTAAAAGAGTCTCGACGAGCAATAACCGTCCTTGGTCAAAATCCTGCTCTTTTTAGTGGATCGTTAAGAAAAAACCTCGACGTAATAGAACAATTTCAAGACGCCGAACTATGGCAGGCTCTGGAGCAAGTGCAAGTAAAAAATCTTGTGGAGAATTTGGAGGGTCAGTTGGATTACGAGTTGTTGGAGAATGGTGCAAATTTAAGTATAGGAGAACGGCAACTAATCTGCTTGGCTCGCGTGTTGCTGCATCAAAAGAAAATCGTCATCTTGGATGAGCCCACTGCACACGTGGATCCAGACACAGAACGAACAATCTGGAACGTTGTGCATGAAAAATTGAGTGACTCGACTGTTATAACAGTAGCTCATCGGTTAAATACCATCACAAACTGTGACAAGATCTTAGTTTTGGATAGTGGGGAAGTTAGTGGGTTTGATAGCTTCCAGGTTCTATGTAATAGACCCGGAAATAAGTTACACGAAATGGCTCAAAAGACAGAAGCCCCAAAATAGAGGTGAGCAGTCCTCAATGTAGACTGTTTAGCTTATTACGAATTCATTCGAATTTCCACAATTCAAGGTGTTTAACGTGTTGTCAAGCCTGATGCCTCGCACAATTGCAGTAAAGTCTTCCTCGAAGATTTTAGGGATCATTATTGATTTCTTTGTTTATTTGAGAGCTCTCAGTGCTTAATAAGTAAGTTTTAAAGGATCGAAAATCTGAACGATGGTCCATTTTGAGGAAAATAAATTAAGTTTCTTTTGAGCATTTATTGAAAATTGTGGACAACGTCTGCAAAGGTGCTTTTGAAATTCTTCGATACTTTTCTCAGAAGTCACTCAATGGAATTTGCTATAAGAAGTTTGGTATAGTAGATCGGTTTTGAGAATTTGTCGTCTAAATACCTTTTCCAACAGACTGCCGAAAGTTGTATGGAAAATACATTATACTTAAGGAGGTTATTCACCGCAAACGTAGGCGAACGGACGTGTATCCTGTTTATCGTGACACTTTGATCTAACCTTTTACTGCTATTGTTTATGCGTTTTCGTAAATGGCATTTATACTCAGTTTTAGTTTTAGGTTTCGAAAGCATTGAAAATGAAATTTTCATAACAGTGAACACCGTGAATTACAGCCAGTATTAGTGATGGCAACTTGGTTAAATACGCTGATGATTTCACGACCCTTCAGACTTCGGTTATGAAGGACTATTCGGATAATTCTTCATACTAAGTTGATCAATATCTTGGGCTGGTCGAAGGCCAGGACAATCGTATGTCATGTAACTAAAATAGATGTAAAGGGACCCGGGGCCACTCAAAGAATCGAAGTCTTAAATGGGAAGGTTCCGCTCTGAGGTCCAACTCTCTATCCATTTTTCACAGGAAAGGTACCCCCTTTCAATGGAATACCTTCACTGAAAAATGGTACCGCTTTCACGTACCTACTTAAATAAAAAGCCTGTAAACGGTTATAATAATTATTTAAAATGGGTGCGTCTTTCCAAAATATTTTACGTAAAGGCCTTTTCAAACACTCAAATGCCATATTTTCCTACTCTTTCATGTATAATTCAACTCATGAACCCTCTACCCTTTGATATACTTGAAGCCTGAAAAGGATACCCCATTCGGATATGACTGCCATTTTAGCACTTCTTATCTGAACTCCTTGTATCCATAGTTTTCCTTACTAGTATTGCTAATTGTGTTACATTCTTTTTGCTTTCTCTTCGGATTCAGGTTATTTCTTTCCGGACTTTTAAACTTTGTAATTATTACTAGAAGACTATTATTTTTTTGTTACCCTCCAGTTTTTTTCAGCCCCAAAGTGCCTATTCAGTTCTTTGGTCCCTGAAGCTGATTTGACCCATAGTGGAGTTATTTTATTAAGTTGATCTACAGCGAAAACCCGATTGTGGGGTCACTGTCGCCAGTGATAATGAATACTTTAAATTGAATTTTGTTAGTTATATAAGACTAACAATTTCTTTAAAATTATTTTGAATGTGTCTAATTTAGAGAAAGCATTAGTGTTAAAAAGGCTCTGTAAAAAAGCCTACGCTGGTTTCCCCGCCAAATGACGTCTGAGAAAACGGGTGCAGAAATTCCACACTGATGACGCGTCACTATCGAGATCTGGGTAGTGGCAGTGTTGCCAAAAAAAATGTCGGCTGTTTTCTCAGACTATCTGTAAAGATGATGAGATGAAAAAATTATGATCATCAGACCATTTGTGTAAATCTGCAGGTCCGGGATGACAGCAAGAGAGAATGGGCCAGGAAAGCGAATCTCTATGCCCCATGATCATTATTTGAAATCTTTTTTAAGTTCGCGCGATTGCTGCGAAGGCTATTTTTGTCTATTGTTTCCGTGACCCACGCGGTCTACTGTCACGTGAACGTGTTAAGTTCGCACGTCATGTTGCTTACTGTGCGTGATCTGCAGTTGATCGGCAGTAAAATGAATCAATTACCCGCCAAGTTTAGAACACATGACGCTATTCTAACCGACCCATGAGGTGTCGTTCTTTAAATAACCACGCAGTATTACACAGAAGCAAGAACAGACTTCGAATAATGTTCATGGAAAGAGGGTCATGTATGAGGGATTCGCTATCTTATCTCATTCCCTCTTGGATTACAGCTAACTTCTGCAGTTTAGTCCAGTCAAACTCCTAATTGTCGGTATCAAACCGCCCCCTCGGAATGCCTGAGGGAAGCGCCACCAAGATCCAGAACTAATTTACAAAACTGTAACTGGTAAGCAACAAATTTAACAATCCATTAAAGGAAAAACCTTACTAAAACTTTAAAAATAGATATAATTTAACTTATTTCGGTTTAATAATTACATCGCTGAAGTATGCAAAAAAAACAATGTCAGGAGTGGGATTTGAACCCACGCCTCCATTCGGAGACCAGAACGCCCGTTCCCATTGCCCAATGGGAAGGTATGTTATCACCTTGAGTCTGGCGCCTTAGACCGCTCGGCCATCCTGACATCGGCTAATGTGCCCTTGTTTACAGTATCTTAATATGCTTTTTTTTATTATTATTTCATCTTTCTTTTACCCACAGATTATTTATTGGCGAGTCCGCTTTCATTAACTCTTTGACGGTCCGCTTTGTTCGTTTATGGACCCATGCATATTTATTCTTCCTGGACACATTAAACTTTCCATTTAAACTTATTAAGATTGTAATTAGCACCTCATTTAGCAAATTTCGACAAATCCTGATAGAGTTATGCAGACAGAAAACAAGCAACATTTGGGGGAAAATGCACTTTCAATTTTGCTATTTACCTACAGCATACTATTACAGATTAGATTCGAAAGCTTTGTTGGAAAGAAAGCCAGCCAAAATTTCATGCGCCGATAAAGTGGGGAACCAAACTGGCTACAAAAAGAAAAAAAAGGGAAGAAGAAGAGTGCAAGAAAAAAAATGAAATAGATTCGCAAAAAAGTCCAAAGCTGCTATACAGTACACAGACACCCCGAAGACAGAGGAGGCAGCTGAATCCCCGCTGCATCTTCGCTCTCAATAAGAGCCTGCCGGTAGAATCAATAGTTTGAGGTCCAATCCAGCTTCTTAGTAGACAAAAACCATGATAATTTCATAGCTTAGCGACCCGTCAAGTTGTCTAAAGCACTGCGGAGAGGGATTTTTGTCAAACGTGTCATGAGCTTATTTGCCAACACTGCACTATGATTGATTATGGTGCATGATCACCGAGTGGAATATCAAGAAACATAAAGGATTGTGCTGCTTATATGTTTTTATAACTTAACTCATCTACAGTAAAATTGCAGTCTCTATCCACTCCATGAAAAAATATTTGTCCCGAAAATTGCAAATATACAGGAATTTAACGAAGATAACGAGATCGAAATGCGAGATAATTGTTTCTCTGGACGGCACTTTCTATCATACGTTTACGAAGAAGAAAGGCTGTTTCGAAATTCACCGTAAAATGAACGTCCCTTCTTTTGCTCCATTGTTTGTAGATAATCTGCAAGTACTGAGGATAGCCATCTGTCTTATTCAGTGTGGCTGAAAACACATATGCAGGTGAACATGCTTCAAAAAACACGAGACGAGATGGTGTCTGAAACGGCCGTTTTATTGCTTAATTTTACCAACAGTTGTTGATGTGTATACTGGAATGCAAGCTAATTATGCTTCAGACCGACATATTTATATGCTGGCCATCAATTCTAGAAAAATCGGCAAGCTAGTATATATCATTTAAAATAAATTATGTACGATACCTTCTAAGGACGTTTCCCTGAAGTAAATATCCTTTCCAAATACATAGTTTTTCTTTTAAACCCTTCCTTCTCCTCTTTTAGCCAACACCACACTACATTTAACTTGTGTTTACGCAAACTTGTCAACTTGCTTGTCAATAAAAGGCTCAAACCCTGGGCCGCCGAGTTGTTCAAATTAAAGCTGGATTATGATAACCTTGGGTTAGTGCAAATATATGATGGTTTAAAAAGCTCATTAAGCTTAATTCATTTTGTCCACAACTTGATGATTGGACGCCTTAAAAAGAATACAGAAAAATTATCCGAGAAAATTCTTTTCAACAAAACAACGACAACATCTTTTATAACGTAAACACGATCATTTTATAGCGTAGCTGAAGAGGTCGTGTAAAATATAATGATAATATCACCCAAACCGAATAAATAAATAAATGATTGAGTAAGCTTACCGATAGGTACGTTTTAGGAAAACGATGGTATTCGTAAGGTTGTCAGGATGGCCGAGCGGTCTAAGGCGCCAGACTCAAGGTGACATTATACCTTCCCATTAAGCAATGGGAGCGGGCGTTCTGGTCTCCGAATGGAGGCGTGGGTTCGAATCCCACTCGTGACATCCGTTTTTTTTCTCTTTTTTTTGGTTAGCAAATTATGTGTTTTATTTATTGAGTTGTTTTATAAACGATGTCGTCCGTTTCTATTTAAAATTGGATTCGGAAATTGCAATTCAGAGCTCGTTGAAAGGAATAATTAAAATGCTGAGGCCTCGAAGAGAAATAGCTCTTTTGAAATGAAAAGGGATTTATAGGGGCTTGGCCTCAATCTGCCTAACCTTTGGATAATAGCATTTGAGCTGAGGCCTGCGGTCTCCCTCTTTTAATAGCAAAACCATGACTTTAAGTACAGGGTCATAAGTTCTAGTAAAACTTGTAGAAAAAGGGCTGTAAAGCTGATATGTGCTAAACCTTCTTATTTAATAAAGCAGTCAGGACGGCTGTAGTAAATAGCCACTTTGAATGAATATTATTTCTATTCAAATCTTGACTTCAACATTTCATTTAACTTACAGGTGAAAAATAATATATATTCCACATGAAGACATCCCTAAATCGAAAATCTAATTTTATTACATAGATGTGTATGTCTTGCTCAGAAATGTGGCGGCAACAGGCAAGGCGGATCAGGGCAATTGCATAAGGGTTTTGAGCAGCAGTCCAAGTTACATTTGGTTAAGTTAAGT